GGGCGTTTACCTTGCAAGGGCTTAATGCTATGTTTTCTTCTATCGTGTGCTTCGCTGTCCAAGGCTGTTATTATCAGCCTCTAAAACACCAACTGCAATGTCCTCTCAACTTTTCCCATTTTGCAGCTCGACAACGTAGTTTCTTCTTTAAGGATGCAGACTATAGTAACTCACATCATTTTCATCAACGCGATCCGATATGATCAATTGCGACGTCAACAGAAGAACTGAACTAACCATAAGACTTGTAATGATTTGTAATATCTCTCAGAAACTGTTGAAGGGCTGCTCAGCAAGGAGAATAAGAATGTTGACTGTCATTAATGATGAAAAAATTGGATTTTAAAGCAGAAAGCAATTGATGAGTGAAGCGATGAAGCCATCAAAATCAGAAACTGCAAGTCTTTGGAAAATTACAATGATAGGGCCAAACTGTGGAGAAAGGAATAATAACTGTGCAGCGTTTTGCAAACATCATTGTCTTTTAATTGCAAGGTATGTGAAACCTATATGGACGTGCTTGTCTTCAAGCCTAGCATTCTAGTAGTTGCAAAAATTCATTAACATTACGCTCTTTCCACTATCTTCAATGGAATGTACTTTGCATATTAGACTCAGAATAACGGCCTTTTCAATGATTATTTACGTCGCTGCTGCTAGAACATATGTGTTTACGTGAACGTAGCGTTTTTGTCTACCTTCACCTTAACACTAAAGCAGTTAAAGCTGAAGTTCTTGTCATCTGAAAATGAAACCGTCATTGCTAACGGTGAGTTGCATTTCGAGGATATATATAGGGTGTCCCAAAAAGTGCCCACTGTTTGTTTATAACTCTCTTCTAATAAAATCTTAGAAGCTATTTTGTAGACCTGACTTCAACTTTACTTAGGCGGTAGGAATTGCAGCGTACGATGCCATTCTGAAAAGACATTCCGAAAAAAAATCCAGAAGAAAATCCTAAATATTGTGTAAGAGGTTTTCATGCATGCTGATTTCAATACACGAACTTTTGCGCTTTTGTAGAGCTTTTCAAATGGTCTGATCAGATTTTCGACGAGTAGCAGAAATTCGTATGTGGTATATCTGACATTACTTTGGAAAACTCGTTAGTGTGAGTTTCATCAAGAGATCAGGAATTAGATAGTGATCAATTTCGCGCAGGAGCTTTCAGCTTCTTTGGTTCTATTTTAGAAGTGAAATATGCCTTGTCTATACCAAACCCTCCTTAAAGTTCCCACCATAATCCTACAGTAATAACATGTGATTTTTGAATCTCACCATACTGTAAAACTAAGTTAAAGCCAGCTCTACA